AAAGTATGATTCGGCAATGCACCCAAAAACTCGTTTACGTTGGAAATAGCCTGAATCATCGTCCCACCATCCCACAGTTCCCACTGGGCAGCTGCAAGAAATAAGTGCGCCATATAAAATACAGGCCGAAATATGAGGATGGTCATTGAGGTCATTGCCTGGCGTCGCATGATGCATAAGAAGGTGGCGACCATGGAAAGCTAACTTTAAGACATTTACAGTAAAGCCTCCTGAGGTAGTATATATATACAATACACACATAGAGAACTGCCCAGTGAAATGTAGGCAGAAAGGGAGGAAAGGACATGCTTGCCCTACGATCTGCTTCGGTCCAATATCAATCTGAACTATCACCCACCTGCACCAGATGCAAGACACCAAAGACAGTAGATTCTGGTAAATACACAGAGAGAGAGAGAGAGGTTAATGACCTCCCCACACCAGATGCAAGGCATATACACGCACAGACACAGAGAGAGAGAGAGAGAGAGAGAGAGAGAGAGAGAGAGAGAGAGAGAGAGAGAGAGGTTTATGATATACCCACAGACCGTCAACTCATGTATATACACGCAAAGAGAGAGATGTTAACCACTTACCCATACCAGATGCAAGACGAGGTTTACCACCTACCCCTACCACATGCACAACGCCAAAAACCGTCGATTCATTTCTATACACTCACAAAGACAGGTCTGACACGTGTACGTGCACAGACAGGCAGATAGACCGCGTCAGTAGGCCGGGTATCAACCATACAGACTGAAGTAGGGGGAAGGTAACAACCAGATGCAGAGCGCAACCGTGTGTGTGTGTGTGTGTGTGTGTGTGTGTGTGTGTGTGTGTGTGTGTGTGTGTGTGAGAGAGAGAGAGAGAGAGAGAGAGAAGAAGGGCGGCAGGCGCACAGATGAAAGGAGGAAGGGATTTTGGCACATTACCAGAGAAAGCATTGACACCTGTGGTGACGCTTCTGTCCTCTGAGAAGAAGATTGGGCAATATACGTCAGCTTCCGGTGAGGGTTTGCCGTCCGTGTCAAATATTCTCCTCCCAATTCGGTATTCGTACGCCTCTCTTTGCTCCGCTGTCACTATTTCCCCATACTCTATGTTCTCTACGTACGGTCTCGTCCATTCACTTGTTCCTGTGAAGTCCGCCAGATCTTGTGCCGTTATTAGATCTTCTCTCAGTCGGAACAACGCTATCAGATCCACAACCATCCTCGCCATCACCGTCGCCTGCCACAGCTTGTACCTCATATTTTCTCCCCATGTCGAACACCTCCTTTTCAAGCTGCTCAGTTTCTGTTGCTTCATTGCGTGGTATATTATGAAAAAAGTTGCCACTATAATCCCCCCACTCACACATAGCGATCCCAACCACATCGCCACCGTCTGCCTCCCGCTTTTCTGCTCTCCCGCGTCCATCATTTTCGTATCCCCTCCTAGCGCTACCTTCGTGAAGAAGTCATGAGCCGCCCGCGTTGGCCGCCTGGCCAGCTTGGAAATGGAGGAAACTAGCTTTCGAAGACTGCCTGTCCTAGCCCGAGTGTCCTGCGACGGCACTGTGCCTCCCTCCTCAACAATGACCCTCCCACTGGCCTCCGTATCATGTTCATCCTGGTCCCCCTTTCGCTCATCCGACCCCATCGTTTCCATTTACCCCCCTGCCTAAAATAGGCTAAGCCTCCGGGTGTATCCGTATCTGACCGTTGTTCTGTGGCCACTGTTCACTCAAGAAGCCCCCATCAACTCCTCCCTCCCTTCCTTGCAAACCGCCCCCCTACATCAGCTTCCTAATCGTCCGTCCGTTGACGACAACGGTGGCAAGGGCCGAGAGCTCGACCTTCTCCCCTTCCTTTTCTCATTGTCCTTCAGCCTGTATTCTGTATTTCTCTGAGTTCATCGTTCTTTGGTCTTTTCCCTGCAGCTCACCCCGATTACGAAGAGTGTGGCGTGCGCATCGCCATCTTTCTCTTCACGTCCCTCGCTCGTCTGCTTGCTTTCCATTAGCGTTTGTTTTGCCTCCCCCAGCGTCCTGGCGCATTACGCAGTACATCGACAGCGGAACAAGGTTAGGACACATTGGCCATGATGCTGGCGCTTCCAGCGCGCTCAGGAGCACGCGTGCTGAAGCGTCAGCCACCCAGGTGATCTAGTGGAGGAGGGCTCCGATTTCCTTCCGCCCAACCTATCCTTCTGCAGTGCATGGCGCGACCCCCCCCATTGCAAGCGCGCGCTATTCATCATCACATCAACAAGGTTCATGCTTTTGTTTTGTTTTGTTTTGTTTTGTTTTGTTTTGTAGCTGATGACCCAAAAATAGCACCTTGTTTAATGAAATGCAAAGTTGGTTGCTAAAAAAAAAAAAAAAAAAAAAAAAAACACCTGCTAGGCGCTATTTTATTCTCTGCAGCTTCCTCGCAAAGTACATTGCCTGATCCGTCATTTGCTCCATTTCTTCCCTCAATGGCCTGCCTTCCAATGAAAGCTGCCGCCACCGTAACGTTCAAGCCTCAAGGCATCAGCAAGAGATACCAACGCGCGTAGCTCAGTTGGGTGTACACCCACGAACCGTTGACATGTAGACTCAAATTCCAATCCAGATACAATCAGATGTGCAGAATACCAGGAATTCTTGAATTACCTGGGGCCGGTCAGCTTCAATGATGATATCTCAAGGCTATCAACCTTTCCAAAAAAAAAGGAAAAAAAAGGCGTCAGCAAGAAGATACTGAGAGACCAATCCACCTGCATGCAAAAATGCAGCTGCGCGCTGTCTGACTGTTTTACGTCAGATACTAAAATGCAGTAGATGATTTCGACTCTTTTCAAATGCTTTAAGATGAACGAAGCAATTGCATTGCTGGGCAAGCAGCTCCGCACCTTCATCCGCATTCAACAGTTGCGCAGTGATGGTGACAGCCAATGGCCGAGCGGATCGCTTTCTGTTCGCGCTCCACCCGGCACGATCTGCTCATCTGCTCACGATGAGCATGCCGTGTGGCAGAGGCAAATGCCACGTGGTCGCTTGATCGCTAAGATCCTACCCCTACCCTGTCTCTCCTTCCCGTGGCCCATTACAACTTCTCCTACCGTCTTCACCCGAATAGAACGCCCGGTCATTATCGCTATACCCGAATAGAACGCCCGGTCATTATCGCTATACGAAGACGGAAGTTGCACAAGATATGGCTGTAATGACCGGGCGTTCTATTCGGGGGAAGGCGGTAGCGGAGGACGACGTCGCACATTACCATTCTTTTATTTTAATTTCCAGCTTCGCGTGGAAGCACAGCCCAGCCCCCCACCCCACTCCCTCGCTGGCTCCTCTTCCCCCTTTGCCCTTGCCGCACCCATCAGCCGCGCAGAAACGCCCTCGCTCTAGTATCCACCACAGTTTTCTCTGCCAATCCAATTAATCGTATGATAATTTCAGCGAAGACTTCCTCTCAAGAAGCAGAAGCCCTCCTTCGCTGCTGTTGTTGAGCCACGTGACAAAACCCTCACCCCTACGTGACAAAACCCTCAAACCCTCCGCTAGCCAGGCTCTCCTTGCGTCAATGACAAGGAAGAGGGTAAGCGGGGTCTGTCAACGACCCCGCATTTGCTAGCTTCGGCTACTTAGGCCAAAAAATAATAATAAAAAAAATAATAAGGGATAGTTTGCAAAATACCCCCAGAAGTTGAGATATATGCCAAAACGCCCCTAAAAGATGTGGGTAGAGTGACAAAAAAAAAAAATTTGCGAAAAATACCCCTGGCGTCGGTTGGACCCCCATCTTTGCAATATATCCCTACCGGGTACCGTCCAACTTTGTCAAATGCCCCAGTCCTTGCCAACTTCTCCTAGGGGCTATTGCAAAAGGACAAGGCCCAAACGGGAAGGTCCAGATTGCAAAGTTGCACACCCGCCTGACAGGGGCACAACACAAAGATTTCGGCCCAAAAGGGCATTCCGCTCTACCCACATGTTTCAGGGGCATTCTGGCATATATCTCAACTTGTGGGGGTATTTTGCAAAGTATCCCTAATAATAATAATTAAAAAAAACAAAAAAACAAAAAAGAGGCAACACCTGTGGAGAATGGCCATGTACTCTTCTCTCTCCACACCGCGCGCACCGCCACTACCCGTCTTCGCCTGAATAGAACGCCGGGCCGTTAAGGCCGTATCAAGACTGATAAAACGCCCGGCCATTATGGCTGTATCTAGACTGAAACATGCACCTAGCCCAGCTCTAAATGACCGGGCCTTCTATCGAGCCTCATCGCACCAGGTACCTGGTAGTGTTCGCAGCCCGTTAGGGGTGCGTTTTCACCCCCTGAGACATTTCCCCCCCGACACATTTTGGTCGTCCTTCGTTATACGGGTCGTTGATTCAGGCTCGTTTGGTCCGGGCTCGTTTGGTCGTTGGAAGGTTCGAAAAATGCAGGCAGGTGCAGGCACGACACTTTGGGGGGTGGTGGCAGTTTCTTTGAAAAATGCGGGACCGGTAGCTGCCCGTGGGACCGTGTGCTGGGTTTTGGTCGAAACGGTGGCAAAGCAGCGGCAGGGTGGATCTTTGGGGGAGGGGTGGCAGTTTCTTTGAAAAATGTGGGACCAGTAGCTGCCCGTGGGACCGCGTGCTGGGTTTTGGTCGAAACAGTGGCAAAGCAGCGGCAGGGTGGAAACGTTCGCAGCCCGTCAAGGTTGCGTTTTCCCCCCCTGAGACATTTCAACGTCACTCAAATTTCAACATCAGTGGTCGGGGGGCTTTGGGGGCCTTGCAAGGGCCAGGACTGCGTAGGACCGTTAGCTGCCCATAGGAGGCTGCGGAGGCCGCGGTCCTTGAGCCTTTTTCGAAATTGAAACGGCACGGGTCCACTTTTCTTGAATAAACACATACAAGTTATATTCGAATACAACGTGTGCCGTTTCTATTTGGATTTCGAAAGAAAAAACTCTTGTATTCCAATAAAATTACTTTTTTTTTTTTTTTTTCTCTCTCTCAATATAACTCGTATTCCAATACAAGTTATATTCGAATACAACGTGTTCCCCGCCACTGACATGATGCATGTTGCAGGTCTCTCTCTCTCTCTCTCTCTCTCTCTCTCTCTCTCTCTCTCTCTCTCTCTCTCTCTCTCTCTCTCTCTCTCTCTCTCTCTCTCCCCCCCCCCCCCCTCTATCTCCCCCTCCCAGAGCAGCCTCTCTCTCTCTCTCTCTCTCTCTCTCTCTCTCTCTCTCTCTCCCCACCCTCCTCCCCACCCCACCTCTATCCTCTCCCCCCAGTACCGCGCCTATGTCGCCCGCGCGCAGAGGACCGGGCTCATTTCCCGACCTCGGACCCGACAACTTCCGCCGCGCCTTCTTCCGCACGCGAAACCTACGGCATCTTCCCCAGCGCTATCCCCTGTTTTCTTTTTTTTTTTCTTTTCTATATTGTCTTCTTTTCTAGATTGTCTTCTTTTTCTTTTTCCCCTACATTCTCCTCTCAATTTCACCTCACACCTTTCACTACCTACCACTTCACTCCTAATTATATTCTTCTCTCAACTCACCTTTCACTACCGACCTACCCTTCAAGCATAGCCACCAACGTCGCTACGCTCTTTTTCCTTCTGTTCTTTTCTTTTTACCTTTTTTTTTCCTGTTTTTTTCCTGTTTTTTTCCTGTTTTTTTCCTGTTTTTTTCTGAAAAGCCAAGGTTGTTGTAGAGGTTGGATTTCTGGACATGTGAGGGGTGCCTTCGGCACTTGGACGTGCGGTATTCCTATGGGACTTCCCTTCCAACCTACCACTTTGGTAGCTTCCCCTGGCACACCTCTACTCCCAGGGTCCTACCTTATCCACTAAGGACCATCACATTACAGTCTTTTCCCCCTACACACATTCCGCACCTCACAGGCCCCCCACCCTCTCCCAGCCGGCATCCTGCATGACCCCCGTGGAAATACCCCCATTCTCAACCCCGAAGCACCACTCTACCAAGGCGTGCCTTGGAGGGCTATGTTCCCCTGCCCTTCACGTCCACCATGGGTCAATAAGTTCACGGGATAAGTGCTGCATCTAGCACCTTTTGGGGCCCTTTTGGGGGATAAGTGCTGCATCTAGCCCCTTCTTGGGGATAAGTGTTTGTATGGCATGTAGGCCCTTTGTGCTGCATGTAGCTCCTTTTTTGCAATAAGTGCTGCAAATCCCTCTTTTGCAATAAGTGACCTGGGAAATGTTCACAGCCCGTCAGGGTGTGTTTTCCTCCCCTGAGACATTTTCCCCCCCCTAGACATTTCCGTCTTCCTTTGTTATCCCGGTCGTTGATTCGGGCTCGTTTGGTCGCTGGAAGGTTCGAAAAATGCAGGCAGGTGCAGGCACGACACTTTGGGGGGTGGGGGCAGTTTCTTTGAAAAATGCGGGACCGGTAGCTGCCCGTGGGAGTGCGCGCTGGGTTTTAGTCGAAACGGTGGCAAAGTAGCGGCAGGGTGGATCTTTGGGGGGGGGTGGCAATTTCTTAAAAAAATGTGGGACCGGTAGCTGCCCGTGGTACCGCGCGCTGGGTTTTGGTCAAAACGGTGGCAAAGCAGCAGCGGGGTGGAAAAGTGGAAAAGTTTGCAGCCCGTCAGGGGTGCATTTTCCCCCCCGGAGACATTTCCCCCCCGAGACATTTTCGTCGTCCTTCGTTATACCGGTTGTTGATTCGTGCTCGTTTGGTCGTTGGAAGGTTTGAAAAATGCAGGCAGTTGCAGGCACGACACTTTGGGGGGGGGTGGCAGTTTCTTTGAAAAATGCCGGAC